CTCACGTGAGAAGCTGAAAAGGGAAGAGCCGGGTCCGTGCGGGACGGGGCTGCGGTGCTGGAAGGAGGTGAGTAGCCTTTCCTTAGCACTGTTTCCTCGCTATTAGCGTGTCTTAAAGCGTGGGGTGGCCCCGCTTCACCGTGCTTCCTGAGGTGAGGGCTGCGGGGACTACAAGTCCCAGAGTGCACCGCCGGGGGGGGGCGCGGTGGCTGCTGAGAGTTGTAGTCCTGCGGGGGGGGGTGGTGGGTTGGGGGGGAGAGGCTAGCTCTGTGTGCTGGGAGCGGGATAAGCTCTGAGGTAAGGGTGTCCCCGGGGGAAGCCTGGGCAGACAGGGACTGAAAGACTGGTGCTCTCTGGGTGTGCTGGGGGTCCCAAAGCCGGGCTGGGGAGGGAGGCATTTGCAGGGAGCTGCCAGCTGAGGGGATGGGCTGGTGCCCCATCAAGACATGGGGGTCCTGAGCAAAGCCTTCTCCTCACTTTTTCTGCAGTTCTTCCACCATGAGGATGCAATACCTGCTCCCCACTCTGCTGTACCTCTCACTTGTGCTGCTGCGGCCTGGTGGTGAGTGCTTGGCTGTCCCAGCTTGAGCCCACAGGGCCTCCAGGCAGGGACCTGGTGTGAACTGGGAAGAGGTGGAAGAGGGCTGCTCTGCAGGAGCTCCATCACACCTCTCTGGGGAGACCTGTGCCAGGGTTCCCATCAGCTCTTGTTTCATACATTACCTCTGACTTGGTGTGCTCATATACAGACAGTGCTACACCGAGACACTGATGTGATGGAGCACTTGCCTTGTGCTCCAAACTCAACCTCTGCAGAAGCAGATTAAATACTGTATGTGGTGACAAACTGGGGAGCTCTCCTGCACTTAAATAACTTATTAAGAACATGGTCTAATATAGCACAACATGGAAAAAGTGTTCAGGGCAACCTGTTTATCTCTCCATTTCTGGTCTTATTTTTATATAGCTCTTTGTTCTTCCTCTTGTCTCATGTGTCCTTTAAACATACAGTGAGTAAAATAGACTTGGATTCCAAATAGCAAAATTGTTGACATGTGACCAGCTTATGGTTTTGATGTCAGTTGTATTGGCACTTGGAATCTCAGCCTCTCTTAAAGCATGATGGTACAACATTGCTGGATTGTTGTAAAGTGTACCCCTTAATAGCAATATTTCAGGTGCTTGTGATTCCTTAAGTGTTAAGATGGTAAATGTACACTCTTTTGAACATCTGGGTACCTGCTTTGAATTTGTGATCCAAGAAGCAATTTTAAACTACATTTTGGGCATTTATGACTCCTAAGTTACTAGGATCACATCAAGAAACAATTAGTGTGGGTTTGAAGTGCCCTATAGCCTTCTCTTTGCATGAACTTTTGTTGTACTTCAAATATTTAAATTACTTCCTTGTAACATGTTCAAGTGTAGTTATTTAGTTCTCCTTTTTAAGTTGTTTAGGCGCCTTGAAATGAGCTGTACTCCCTTTGTTGTTTATCATGTGTACTAATTTTATTAATCTGACACTGCACATACCAATGGACAAAATGTCTATATCACAAACGAAAGCAGGTAGTTGTTCTGAAGGAGCTATTCATTATTCATAGTAATTGAGATTTGTGGAGGGGTTTTTTGGTTGATTATTTTGTTGGGATTTTCTCTCCAGATGGAGTCATTGTATTGTCTGTCCCTGAAGTGGTTTCATTAGAAAGTGGAAGTTCAACAAACGTCACTATCTCTCTGAGGTAAAATCATGATTGCATCTTTACTTTCTCTTTGGAATGGGGGATGAGCAGTGGGTAGGACTTGGCTATATACTTAACATTTTCCTGCAGATTCACTTAATTGTTCATACAAAGTGCATCTCACTGATGTGACTGACTGCTTCTAGACTATTACAACACTTAGTACCAGTGTGGACCAAGATAGTGCAGCATTCTCACAAACAGCCTTGTGTAGTTGGCCTCTGACAATATACCATGCCATTTGTTTGGGAAGTTGAGTAGGAAAAGATCTTTTATACTTTCTGCCCTATATCTGCTTGCTGAACTGTCTTCCTTAAGTAAGTTTACAGTTTGTCCACTTCTGAAAATGGATGCTTAAGAGAAACTTGCATTTCTTAGAGGGATCACCAAAAAAACTTTACCAAGCAAACAAACTCGCCATTTCTAGCAAAGAAATGCAGCTACTCCAGAGTAGGGGCTGATGTACCTTAGTGTCATTGTTTACGCATGGTTTTGCTATGTCAGCCTCTTCCCAGGAACGGATTGTTAAATACAGGCACTCCTCCCCTTCAGGATGTCAAAGTTCGAGTAGAGGGAACAGGCAGATGAAAACGTAAGAATTGTGATTAAAGAGGAAAATAGCAAAACATGGCTGCAACAGTCTAGAACTTTTATTTTTGCAAAGAAAGATGCAGTATTCTAATCTTGTTCATGGACAAGTGTAGGCATTTGGACCTTACAATATTGTAAGTACTGCTGTGCAATTAAACCTCCTGGACAAATGCTCAGTGGAGTTCTCTGGGAAAGCTGTGCAGAACTATGTCACTTGGAGGGTTTTTGTTATTTGAGGGGGTTTTTCTTTTTACCTTACTGCAGTGCTATAATTTCTACCCTTCATCACTGAAGTACGTGTCCATCATTTCTGCCCCCCTTTACCAGCAAAGGGTTAACAAGCACAATGATGGGATTCTGGTGGCAATGACTTTGCTCTGCCACTTGTGTGGAGAAGAGGGAGGTATAATGTGGCCATATAACTATCTAGTGCCCATCTAGTTCAGATAAAAGAAAGAGTACAATGCTAACATATTTTGGTGCTGGTGTTCTCCTACATAGTAGGTAGGTACTGTTGTGTATGGACTGTTCATTATGTTTGCCACGCTTGTGAGGATTTGACGACACTCTCTGCCCAGAAGCAACCTTTGTGAACTCGGGCACCAGTCTAACTTGTTTTTTTTCTGCCTTCACAGGGCTCCATTAAATGAGACACTGGTGATAGCTCTTAATATTACGCACTCATCGAAACACAGCACTATTGTTGAACTGCCTGATGAAGTAAGTGACAGAACAGACTTCTGACCTTATGCAGAAGCCAACTGCTGGTATGGTGCAACTCTCCTCTTTCTTCCCTCCACTTTGCCTTGCAGGTACAATTGCCTGCAGGTCACACTAAAGCAGACTTCCAAGTGAAAGCAGATGATGTTGGACAAGTAACAGTTTATCTGTATACCATTAATTCCAATTTAACTGGGTAAGAAACTGGTTTTTAGTTCTACTCTACTATCCTACAGCTTCCTAAACTTTGGGGTAACTATTCCCTTCTTATAGTTAAATAGTTAATGGGACATGGGTGGTATGTAGTTGAGAAGATGTGGTCACCCGCCAGCAATCCCCAAGGTATTCAGCTAAATACAGGGTATGGAAGCAGAGTGGTAGTCTTAGTATCTTAGATTTCATTATTAAATGACTGTGAGTTCTCCTTAGTCTGGTTTTAATAACCCCTCCCAAAAGTATCAAAACTACCTGTCAACTGTTATGATCCAGGAAGCATTTGGTTATAAGTGTCCAGTGGAATACTGTTCTTCCTGTGCAGGACTTGTTCTGGAGCGCTGACAGCCTGATGAAGCTGTGCACTCACATCACTACCATGAGAGGCAGATGTTTTGCTTTCTAGTTAGGAGAGCCCTCTTCTCACAGGTGTCAGTCCTCCCTAATAGGAAAACAGTCTAGCAAGATGGAGAAAGTTGGATTGTATTTGCTTGTTGCCCAGATGCTACTGAGCAACAGGATACTCCTGTTTTACTTCCTCATTTCACTTCTGCTTTTAAGACTCAAAGCAAATGCAGAGGTAAGCACATGAAATGCTCAACAGGACAGGCATGATCGTGATGCTTTGCTGGCAGAGCGTGAAAAGTGAGACTCTGCTCTTGCATAACAGACCTTGTGCTAAGAGAGTGGAAGCCATAAGCACAAGATGACCTTTTTGAAGATTTCTGTGGTAAAAGAATGGAAAGGAAAGAGAGTTTGAGGGTAGGAGTGGGAGATGTCCTAAACATAACAAGGACACTAAAGAAAAGGGGAACAACTCAACTGAAACTGACTCTGAATCTTTATTGTCTTGTCTCATCACCTGGACTCTGTTTTCTCTCTAAGCAGAACAAAGCAAAATCTCCTGAAAAAAGTTTGAACAAACTAACTAATTCTGTTTGTCTTAACCGTCAGACCTAGGATTCAATTTCAAGTGATACGTAGCATCATAGTGAGATATGCTGATGAGGTGATTGGCTGGATCTATTTCCTTGCCTGGTCTATCTCCTTTTATCCTCAACTCTTTGAGAACTGGCGACGAAAAAGGTAAAGAGACTTAAGATGTGTTTGCAAGTCACTTAAGCACTTCTGCAAATCCTGTTCGTACCTTTATTCACATCCATCTTGGTTATTGTGAAATATGCATGGAAAGACTGGGGGGGAAAAAAGCAAGACAAAGATAGGGCCTGAATAAACACAACCCCAGCAAGCTTTTTTGCGTGCATGTCAGAGGAAACTAAGCGCATCCTACAGACACCTAATCCTAAGGTTTGGCATCCAATACTGATTTGTGATAGAGGAGACTTCCCCATTCCCTTTGGCATCATGTTGTAAATCTTCTGGCCAAGCCAATTGTGATGACCGCCTTTGAAGATTACTTACTTTGTGAGCTGTTTTTCAGACAGCTCCTTGTAGTGTAATCATTAGGTCAGCTCCCCTTAAACCAAGTAACTGTAAGTAAAACATTATTCTATATGAAAACTAAAGCATTTGGTTTGGCAAAGATGCACTGCTGCTTCTGTGCATTCAAGCTGGAATGGCTTTATCAGACTCGCTGAGCTCATGGAGGGGTGAAGTTAAACAGCAGGGGCACGGCCTTGTCAGTGAGAGCTATTGTGAGTACCAGTACAAGGCATATGAGGGATATTTCACCTTGCTTCTTGCTGACCTTACAGCATCCTGTTGTCACAATGCCTGCAGCTTTGGCTTACATCAAGAATTGCCTATAAATCAGTACATTCTAGGGTCAAGTTGTCCCTGCAACCACCTGTAATGCTCTGATACGTATTTCTCATACATTTTTTTCCTCCCTTCTATAGTGTTGTTGGACTGAGCTTTGACTATATAGCATTAAACCTTACTGGCTTTATAGCATACAGTGTGTTTAATGTTGGACTCTTCTGGATTCCCTTGATTAAGGTAAGCATGATTATCTCTTAATACTTGCCAGGGTGTGGGTATCTACAGAAGGGAGTAAAGGCATTTGGCTGGTTTTGGTTTCTCTTACATTTAGGAGGAATTCTTAGTCAGTTATCCCAGTGGGGTGAACCCTGTGGCTATCAATGATGTTTTCTTCAGTCTCCATGCAGTAGCTCTAACTCTCCTCACCATAATTCAGTGCTGCATCTATGAGGTAAGTCTCGATGCTGGGCTGACCTGTCAGCTCTGGCAGAGCTCCCTCTGCCGGACACCCACCACTCACCGTCTGCTCCTTTTAGGCTCCAAAGTCTTCCTCATTGCACTTCCGCTGGCTTTTCCAGAAGTCAGGCTTCACAGTCCAGCTGCCTTGTCTTTCCTGAGCTAGTAGCAACTCCAGTAGGCTTAGCTACTTCAGCCTCATGAATATTCTTGAGCTTATAAGTAAACCCCTTAGGGACTCAAAATACCCAAGGCAAACAGCCAAGTTCATAAAGTTCCAAAACAGATCTCTAGCCAGCACATAGATTACAGCTATACACAGTACAAATGCTGGTATGTGCTTTGCTGTTTCCTCACTACTTGGAGTATCCTTCAGGCTAGGACATGTCCTCAAGGGTTCCCTGCAATTCAGACTTTCAGCTTTTTCATCTTCTTCTAAAACAGCTGCAAAGGCCCTTTTATAATTCCCACCTTTTCAGGTGAGACTGATTGTTATAGTCAGGTGGTTCTTTATTTAATTCCTGTTGTAAAAGTGTCTGATCTGAATAGCCAGTTTTCTCAGGATGGTAATTATTTATGTCTTGAGGTGCTTCCTTTGATAATGCTAAACCTAAAACTGTAGCAGCCCATTTGTTGCCACTGCTAGGTGCAATAGTCTTTTCTAGTGAAGAATTAGAAGGCAGCCATGAATCTTTTACCCTAATGGCATTAGCAGCCTTTTGCATGTATCAAGGAACTCTTGATATCATCAGACTAAACTCAGGAGATTGTTGCATGTGTAGCACTGATAGTACGCATCATAAATACTTAAGAATACCACCACAGTATTGTTTCCCGCTTGCTCATGGACAATAGTGTTCCAAATGATTGATGTTGAATATTGCTCATCAGCTCTTGCAAACCTACAGCTGGTTGCTGTAGCACTCATTTAATCTTAAAATCCCCTTGTGGTATGAGCCTAACTGGTACAACAACAGAGTTGGACTGTAACCATGCATAGTCCTGAGCATATTCTATATCTTACAGTGTGTCTGGGGATGCATGACCGGGGTCAGTCTAAGTGTATCTCATTTCTGTTTCAGAGAGCAGGTCAGAAGGTATCCAAAGTTGTTGTTGGACTACTGGCACTTGCATGGATCTTCACATTTACAACACTGTTTCTTGCTGCAGCTGAGGAAATGACGTGGCTACAGTTCTTATTCTGCTTCTCTTACATTAAGCTAGCAGTCACACTGATAAAGTATTTTCCACAGGTAAATCTGAACTTTTCTGCTTTTATACTATAATCCTGTTACCCCAAGCCTGAGGCATATGCTCTTGAAAGTCTGACTAGAGTAAACCAGCAATGATTAAGTCTTTTAGTGACAAAACCAGTATATTTATACAGAAGGCTTCTTAAGTGTTAGACTAACTGCTTGTACATGACATCCTGACTGACTTCTTGTAACACATGAAGGCGTACATGAATTTCCGTCGGAAGAGTACTGAGGGATGGAGTATTGGAAATGTATTACTAGACTTCACTGGTGGAAGCTTCAGCCTTCTCCAGATGTTTCTGCAGTCATACAACAACGGTAAGGCTGGAACTGAAGTGGTGAGGTCTTTCTTAATGGGGTGGGAAAATTCTGCTATAAAGCAGATATAAACCTGTAGGTTATCTTGGGAGAATGTTGTGCTATAGTATAGGGTAGCTGTTATTATACTAAGAATAAAGAATCTGTTCACATTCCTTCAAGATAGAAAATGAAATAGCTATTCTGAAGAAACCACAGAAACAGTTATTAATTAGCTTTGTGTAAGACATACACTGCAGTCTGAAGGTGTCTAAGCAGTCCAGGTGATAATACGTGAACTCCTCTAATATGTATGGCATGACCTTCTAGTCTTGAGACAAGGCCATGCTTGAGGAGTTCGTCTTAACTCTCTAATTTTGTGTTTGGCAGATCAGTGGAAGTTAATCTTTGGAGATCCAACCAAGTTTGGCCTGGGTGTCTTCTCCATCATCTTTGATATTGTTTTTATGGTCCAGCACTACTGCCTTTATAGGAGACAAGGGTATGAACCTTGTGAATAACATCACTTGTGAAGACAAAAAAAACTTTAAATTGAACTTGCCTGTACCATGGCTGAGGGTTTTCAAGATGCTTACTGCCAGTTACCAGAAATACTGATTCTGATCTCTATACTTGGATCCTCTCTGGTGTGGAATACAAGCTGTTGCCTTGCCAAATACTGATTGCCAGATACCTTAAAGGACAGCAAGCGATCTAGCCATCGCTTGCAAAGGGAAGATTCATGCCTGTTGAAGCTGCAAAGACAACTTAATGTGAGCTGTCCAAGCAACGTGTGGCTCTTCTTCCATTAATAACAGGAACAAGAAAGACCAAAGTGATGTCTTTCTGATTGGAAGTGAAGAACAAAGAGCAGAGTTCTGGATTTTAAACATGATCTCACATCTTTGGAAACCTAAGATCATGTTTAAGCAACCACTTAATATCTTAATGTAATGACTGAAGACTGTGGATCTAAGTGCTGCTGCTGACTCCTCACAAAGATCACAGTAGAATACCACTCAGGTTGGCTGTTAACAGCTGTAGCGGTACACAAAAGAATAATAAGGTTGGTGGCAAATACACAAATATTAGAACCTGAATGCTTTATTAAAAAAATACTGAGAAGCAGCAGGAACTTGTATTCTTATTTCTCTGAAAGCTCTTTTAAATCTGAGCACTTGTCTTAAAACCTTTATCAGAATACTTCTAGTGCACTAACTTCACTTTGCTCAGTTCTGCTGACATGCCTTCAATCCTTGGTGGATGGTAAAGATTAAAGATTTATCAAAGAGGTTATTTCTAAGTGGATCATGTGAACAAGCTCAAGATTAAAGTTTAAACATATGGTTTTGTTCCTGGGCAACTTTCTAACTATGTGGTATGTTCTAGGTAGAGATCAAAGTCTTCAGTTTCTTGAAGGTAAGAATTATACCCTTTAAAAGAACTAGAAGGGAATCCATGCATTTGCACTTGAACAATACTCAAATGCTCAAAACTTATCTTGCTAGGTGCCAACCTACAGAAAACTAGAACCCCTTCTCCCCCCCCCCCCGCTAGCGGCCAGGGGAGGTTTGCCAGCTCACTAATAGACCCCCTTCCCCCCCCCCCCCGCTAGAGGCCAGGTGAGGTTTGACAGCTCACTAACACTGCAGCTACCAGTGAAATCAGAGCTTACTAACCTCCGACTGCACTGTGGTGATGTAGCCCATGATCCACTTTGAGCCAGAAAAGAGGTGTCAGCTGGAGGCATTCAAGTGATGTAGCCTCCTTAAATGTAAGGAGAAACAGCTCAGGAAATCCAACTTTGTTTTATTGTGTGTAAAATCAAGTGGAATAGCAGTACAAATAGCAGTGTATCTTTATAGTAACAAAAATAACTTCAACTTGAAAGCCTTAAAATTTACCACTGAATGATTAAGTTACAAAATTCAAAAGCAGTATTGTAGTAATTCGATAGATACAAAAAATGGTAAATAGGCATCTGCTGGTGCATACAGAACAGTCTGAGATGCATCTCAGTCACAACATACATACATGGCACAGCAGTAATGTACTGAATAAGTTAGTCTGCCACCTCCTCATGTTCTATTTACAACAGCTTACCTGAAGACTGCTTAAGGAAAGTATAAGATATGTATAAATCAACTGAAGGGGATTAAGAACTCCAGTTTTTGGATAACTGTAGAGCTAGCTGGTTAACAAACCACTAGGATGCTAGATAATTAACTTAGTGTTACAGCAAGAATCTTAAATCCTGTGGCATTTGATTTAAACAACTTAGTATCTTACCAGAAGTTTAAATTTGGTCAAGAGGCACTTTTGGAAATTACTGGCATATTCATCTCTTCCATCCAATAAATCACTGATTTAAGCAAAGTCATCTAGAAGTCATAATCCACCCCTCCCAATTCAAGTCTGATAGAAGTAGAATGAAGAACTGAAGGCTCTACAGCTACAAGCAGCTCTTTTGGTAAGTAAGTTTAGCAACAGTGTTTTCTTTACCTGTTCCATATTCCTTTCATTTAAAGTGGATTCATTTGATATTACAAATTACTTGGGAACAAGGAGAATTAAGGTTTTTCTGACAGTGAAATTGAACTGTTGTGTCTATGAACTTTTAGTGTACTTCACAGGAATTAATCTAACACTTCGGTGTTACTTAGTTTTTTGTTGGTTGTCTCTTGTCTGAAGAGGCTGCTTTGTACAGGGAATCTTTGCTGCGAACTGTAATGCCCCAAACCCTTCAGCATATTCTGTCTAGCTAGCACACCATGTGAGATTAGTACAGTGCTCCTCCCCGCAGCAGTGTGCAACTCCTAATTCTGGCACTTTGATAGCATGGGAGGACAGGACAGTTTGCTTGTAAAAGCTGAAGTACAGCAAACCCTCTTATCTTCCATAGCAGAAACCACATTTCCTCTTAAAATAGGAAGCTTTTGTGCTACAAAAGAATCCTATCAAAGTTAAGGTTTCTCCAGTTGCTTTCTTAAATAACTAGGATTTGTCCTGTGCTCCTGAAAGCCATGACTACAGTAAAGTCTTACCATGTACCTGCAGGGAAGACTTTAGAGAAGCACTCTTGCCAGGGCAGGTCTAGAGTTTTACTACTGCCAGTTACACCAGAGAAAGAAAAAAAAAAGTGTTTACCACAGTTAGGAACATGCAATCCTTCCAGACAACCTGTTCGGGTCTAGTATTTGCTTCCTTGCTTGATACCAGTCTACATATCTCCCTCCCCAACCCTTCCCCAACTTGGTGATTGATTAGGACATCATGGATTGTTGCACAGCCTTCTGCAGAGATTGCCTGGTCACCAGCAGTCGTACCACTTCTTCGTTCCTTTTTGTCAGCCTCTTCCTAGCTTGGTCATGGGTCACCATTGTCATGTCCCACCCATTCACCTAGGGGGGGAAAAAACCATAAAATGAGGCAGGTACAGACTCACAGGTGTCTTATAACTGTTCCATTGGAACTAGGAGGTAGATAGGCTTATGCCATAGCTCAGTCTGAGCCCCACGAACTGTCCTGGAAAGTACCCAGAAGACAGTATTTCCCCCAGCAGAAACTTCTCCGTAGTATGCACTAAGTACTGCGTTGTACTTATCTTGGTGTTTACCTGCATGATCTTATCTCCAATCTGAAGTCCTGCAACTTCTGCTGGGCCTCCTTCTGTCACCCTTGTTACATAGATACCCTGGAGAAAAATTAAGGGTTCCTTTACTAAATATGGGAGCATTAAATACTCAAGGGCCATTCTACTGACAATGCAAAAATACTTTGTAGTAAATTACAGGATTCTATTAAAAAACAGGTTTGTATAATGTTGGAAGATAGAAAAAGGTGGAGAGCTAACTTAAAACAAGCTTAGTCTGCAAATAACATGGCAACAGAGTAACCTTAGTGGTCAACTCTGTGAGATGCAAGCGAGTTGAGCGTGCTGGGAGTGGAGTATGCTTAGCCTTCTGCAGAGAGCTGCTACAGAAAACAAAGAGCATCTGACCTTGTCGGTCTTGTCTTCGGAGAAAGGATTCTGAGTAGGATCCTGATCAATGCCACCTCCAATGCTGAATCCCAGAATCAGATTGTCACCTTGACGAAGTTTATGTATTTCAATTCTTTGCTGAAAAGAAAAAGAAGATAAAATAGCTGAGTATTGTGACCACTGGAAGAAATCTCAAGTGTGTCAAGACAGATACCTAAAACCCAGTTAGATTGTCTTTCACAGACATACCATAAACCTACTAGAGCTGGCTGCACCACGCTTGGTAAGTTACATATTGCAAGCAGACAGCTCTAAAAGCCCTGGGCAGCGCAGAACTATCATGTGGCATTTGCCTTCAGTCACGTGCAACCTTGGTGTTGACAACTGGCTCTGACCTGTCCTCAGTCTCACCACAGACCAGGGAACCATCTGCAAGCTGATGCCATGACACAGCCAAGCTCCTTAACCACTCACTGCTTTACTGCTGCCCCGAGACACTAAAAACAGAGCAGGTCTCTTTAAACATGAGTCACAGCTTGATAACTAGCAGTCACTCAGAGCTACTCAGCTTGTTCTTGATCCTCATGCCTTGTGTTCCTGCCTAGCCCTATCACTGGAAATAACCTATTATTAGGATGGTTCTTTAAGATAAGTTATCAATGCACTTTTGTAATCCAGAGGTAGGTTCCTTGCTGTCTGATGAATGCAGGCATCTGACGGGCTTTACGCATTATCTAAGTCCTGTATAAATGCCAGCTTGGGCAATTCTTGAGCCAAGATGAAAAGCCACCTTCTTAACTGGAACAATAACCACTCCAAAGGTTCTTCAACCTGATCTGTGGAAGGTGTCCCTGCTCATTGCAGGAGGGCTGGACCAGATGACCTTCTTCTCAAACAGCCCTGTCGGAGAGTTACCTTCCCGAAGGGCGCTGGGCTCAGGCTCCCACGGGATGCAGACTGCTTGGCCACACCGGGACAGCTGCCCCATCCTCAGGTTGTCCGCTCCTACACGGCTGGGAGCGGGGCGGCGTATCGCAGTCGCGCCCCCAAAGCACAATTAAATTTAGTATTCTAACTGGTGGAAGAAACAACAGCGACCCTTGCTTGCGCTCTTTGTTGATTAAAGCAACGAATACGCTTCAAGCTCTAGCGCGGCAGGTGCTTGT